CAAGACAAAATATCTTTATTTGCAATGTCTTCACACAACACACTTACTCAGAGGGTTTTGTGCTAGAATTGCATTGTGTTTAACAGTGAGGAATAGCTTGGAGTCCTAGTGGCATGGACGTGCTGAAACAGAGAGAGACGGCTGTTGGCTGATTAACTGAACATTTCCACCTGTGTCTGAGAGAGAACAGAAATAAACCATCGGCAAAGTTGCACTGTTCTCTCTCCGTGAGAAAAGGAGAACTTTAATGAATGTTCATGCAGTTACAGTGTGTGTGTGTTTGTGTGTATAGCCTCAGGCTTTACCCTTCCTGCTGTGTGCACAGTCTCACCTCACCAGCCCTCTCCATCTCTCTCTGTGTGTCTGCCATGGCACTGCAGCCCTACAAAATGGAGGAAATCCAAGAGGCTGGATCACCATGTAACGTTAGCTTTAGCGTGTTTGTGTGTGCTGTACATCTGTGTTGATTGTGAAGCAACTGCATATTATGTGTTGATGGAGTCTCTTACCAGACACGTTTACACTTTTAAAAGTTTTCTGCCATCCAAAGGGCTCATATTTTTTTTTATTATTTTCCCCTTGTGTCCACTTATAATGTAACATTGCAATTTTCCACTCTCTCTCAGACTCTCAGATTTTATGCTGCTGCGCCTTAAAGGAATAATACACACAAAAAGGAAAATTTGCTTAAAATGTACTCACCCTCAGGCCATCCAAGATGTAGATGAGTTTATTTGTTTCATCAGAACAGATTTGGAGAAATGTAGCATTACATCACTGTCTCACCAATGGATCCTCTGCAGTGAATGGGTGCCGTCAGAATGAGAGTCCAAACAGCTGATAAAAACATCACAATAATCCACAAGTAATCCACACCACTCCAGTCCATCAATTAACATTTTGTGACGTGAAAAGCAGCATATTTGTAATAAATTCATCATTAAGAATCTTTAACTTCAAATCAATAAATAAGAGTCATTTATCCATAATATTGCTGTCTCCAGTGAAAAAGTTGTCTTGTGTGAATCAGAAGAGAAATATTCACAGATCAAGCAACATTTACAGGCAAAAACATTTCTAAACAAATACGGGGGTGGATTTGGACAACAGAGGATGGACTTTTTCACTTTAAGAAGCATTATAATGATTTCTGGACTTTGGCCATTTTTGCCAGAAGCAACGGTTTAAAGTTAAAACTCCTTAATGATGGATTTGTTTCTTACACAAACACAGCTTTTCGTTTCACAAGATGTTAAGTGATGGACTGGAGTGGTGTGGATTACTTGTGGATTATTGTGATGTTTTTATCAGCTGTTTAGACTCTCATTCTGACGGCACCCATTCACTGCAGAGGATCCATTGGTGAGCAAGTGATTTTAGGATGAACGATTCCTTTAAAGACGAATATGTAACCTCTTCACATCTGAGATGAGAAATGTATGCAAGCAAATGTTTCAGAATCTCATATCTCATAAAATCAAGGAAATTTTGATTCCTCCTGATGTGACTTTAATAAAAAGCATCAGTCCCATCAGAATTCCACTGTGAAGCCTTCAGTGTCAGATGAACGACCTCAGTGATTTAATTTTACACAAGCCTTCCACTGAAAAGACTTGAGGCAAATGTTTAACCAATATTCAGAGGGAGATTTGTACAGTAATTTGCATTCAGTCCCCCACTCATATATGTGGTTGAATAACATTTTTGACTGAAAGAGAAGAGAGGTCACTGAAGTGAACAAGTGTTTTGATGTGTGCCGCCCCTCTCATGGGTATTTGAGCAACACAAATCCGGACTAATCTTTCTCACATGTCAGAATGGGAGGTGGTAGAAGAATGGCAGAAATGATTAAGAGATATAATTCTTTAGTGCTCTGCTCTCAGTGAAGGGCCGGAGGTGGATGGAGTTGAGTATGGAGGAGCAGAGGGCATATGTCATGAGACTGCTGGATGCTCTGGAGGTCACCGATCGAGACAAGAGGCTCAAAGTAGCCCGAGCCATCCTCTATTTGGCACAAGGTATGAATATAATACATACAACCACAATGCAATGGGTGAATCTCATGAAACCAGTCGACAGCATGTCATATTTCACCCCAAATCAAGAAATAAAAAAGTAACCAAATATATTATATGAAATTAAATCTGTTTTAGGATCATTAAGATATTTTGCAATTTCAATGTATTTATTTTTTTAGTACATATTATCTATAATTTATTATATTTTGATCATTATTAAACGCATTTCTCCTAGTTCTCACTACTTTAATAATGATGTATTATTTAATTTATGATTACATTTTTAGAACTGCCCATAATTTATGCAAATTTATGCAGTTTTTGTTTTGGTAAAAATATTTTAAAAAGATAGAAATATATAAAACAATAAAGTATGACTATTGCAAAAATTAGAATCATTATTGAGTGTTTTTAAATGTATTTTTGGACTTTAATAATTGGCATGAAAATGTCTTAATTTTTTGTCATATTTTTTTATTCACGAACAGCTTGTAACACTCCAAAGAAAAAGGAAAACTTGAATTCGCATCATATGACCCCTTTAATAAAAATATGTAAAAAAATAAAATATGAATCATTGAGCATTATGGTAATGAGAATTTGGACAAAAACATGCTGAATTGACATGAAAATAATTGTAAAAAATCCTTAAAATAGTATTTTCTTAAGCAAAATATAATTTCTTCTTTTTTCTTACGTATGTGTGTTCAGGTGTGTTTGATGAGTGCGACACAGAAACTGACGTCCTCTACTGGTCCCGACACAACGTCTTCCTCCTGTACGACATGGGCATCTTCACGGCTCTGCTGGAGCTCCTCAGCATGGAGATAGAGTGAGTGTTTTCATTTCCCAAAATGCCTCAGTCTCTGTGTGGAGATCTTTGACTGAGGGCAGACCATCTGCTGCAGGCGAGGACAGACAGGCGAAGGGTGAGATACTGAAAGAGACAGACAGAGAAAGAATCTCTACTGTTTAACAGTGCTGCTATTTTTGTTCTCCTTCTCCTGAGGGAGCAGGTTAGAAACGGCTCAGTCATGACTGTGTGTGTGTGTGAAACAGTTGTGTATTTCTGTGGATCTCCTGGGTGCTGTACTAATGAGACCAACGGCTTTCTCTTTTCTGTTTCTTAATGCCCGGTGTGTACGGTAGCAGCTGCCTGGGCGGCACAGTGAGCCACTTCTCCTCCATTTCTTTAATTACCCTCATTAAGTACACTTTCATGTTAACAGGTCTTTTTATTCTATTCAGAGAGTGATATCAGTGAAATCAGATATCACTCGTATCATTGCACATACTGTACCAACATAAAAATTAATGTGCAAAAAACTACTCGGAACACATTAGCAACCACATAGCAATGGCCTGGCAACCATTCATTATACCCTAGGATTGTGGTAGCAACTTCTGCATGGGTAAGTGCAATTAAGAAAATGTGAAAGCCTGCCGTATTTTCCAGAAAATTAGTCGTACCTGACTATAAGTCACACCAGGTCAAAATTGTATTGTTAAGAGAAACACATTGCATTGGCGTAAGTCACATTTTATTATTACATTCAGAAAAAATCTAAAATGAACGAAATGTTCTATAAACGTGTATTTTAGTTCCCCTCACTACACAACAAATCTTTTAAATGTAACTGTATTTAGAGCAGAACAGGAATGAAAAACAAAGTATAAAACAAACATAAATTATAGTGGCATTCAGTATTCAGTATATGCTATTATAGATTTTAATATTTTTGCTATCATTTTAATTCTAGGTTTTTTTTTTTCATTGTTGTATTTTTTTTTTTTTTAATTTGTATACATTTTTATTTAAGTTTTACTTTTTTGTACATCAAGTTAAATTAAAAATAAAATTAAAATTCCTTGACAACTAGCTGAAATAACAAAAGTATTTTTTTTAAATATTTTATTTTACTTCAGTTTGCAAAACATGATATTAGTCAACATTATATAAGTCACTTTGGAATATTAGTTGCAGTTGTAGATGATTAAAAAAACATGACATTTATTCCAGAAAATATAATAGTTTGCATTTAATATATGAAACATTAGATTTCGGTTCATCGTATTATTATTTTGTGTGCTTGACATTAATTGCATTATATAATCTCTTTGGATTTTGGACTCAGGATTATATATCACTGTGGAATAAAAATCACAGCACATTTAAAAAAAAAAGAAGTGACTTTTAATGTATGTAGTGAAAATACAGTTAACATTTAATAAATGAAACATTGTATTTTACTTCGTCATATTCTTATGAAGGTAATATAAGCACCATACTTTAAAAGCAAGATCAAAAAGGCCCAGTTCTTTTGTGTATCCATCTCGTACCTGCTGTCATCTCTCCATAATAAAGCCATTCTTTATTTCCTGCATCAGCACCCTCTCTCTCTCCATTTCCTCCCGCACTCTTGTGTTAAAAAGAGCCACAGAGTGGTCCGTCTGTGATCTGCCTGGCCACCATGCCTCTCCTCTTTCAAGCCCCTGCCTGGGGGATTTAATGTCTTTGTACATGGTCTCATCCACTCACACAACAGAACTGCTCTCAGGGAGACCGTACCGCTGCCTCTCTGCCTCTTCTGTGGTTTACTGTGGCGTAATTTGCACAATTAGCCCACCAGCTTCTCCGAGCATTGATTCATATTTAGCTGAGCACATCTGATTCAAATGATCAGGGTTTTGGTTTACAAGCTAGTATTTGTACTGAATACAAGGGATTGGACTGCATGGCTTGTTTCCCCCTCAAAAACTCATTTGTATTGTATTTTGTGGAATGATAAAAGTTGGCTGGTTGTAATGAGTCTTTTTTACGGTGTTATTTTAGTATCATTACCATATTATTATTATTATTATTATAGTTTTTTATCAGTATTTTGAATTAGATTTTATTTTTCTATTTTCTGTTTTCATTTTAATTTTAGTTAAAGTTTTAGTAATCTTGTTGTGCGTTTTTGTCATTTTTATTAGTTTTGGGATTTAAAAAAAATTGGTCTGTGCAGTTTTTATTAATTTTTATTTAAGTTTTAATTGTAGTCATTTTTTACAATTATTTTCTTTTTGTTAACATTAGGTAACTTCATTGCTTAAACTAAGAATGGAAAATACTTTAAAATAAATCTTAGTTTATATTAATAATTATATTAATTAATGTATTAATACATTATTCAATCAAAAGTTGTATGTTCATATTATTTAATGGATCTGAGCTAATGTGAAATACCAATGAACAGCTGTATTTTTATTAACTAACATTAACAAAGATGAATAAAAATAGTTAATGCATTAACTAATGTTAACTAATGAGACCTTATTGTAAAGTGTTTCCAGTATTTTAGTACATCAAGTTAAACTAAATTAAAATGACAAATTTTGCCTTGCCAACTACCTGAAATAAAATTAGGTTAATATTTTATTTAATTGCAGTTAACATTAAGTTTTTTTTTATGGTTTTAGTTTTAGTTTTGGTTAACTGTATTACCCCTGGTCCTTTGACACAGATGTTTCATAAGGATGTGCATTTATATTTTGAGTTAGTATTGTTCCTTTTTTCTCCAGTAATAACCAGGCATGCAGCAGTGCAGTGAGAAAACCAGCCATTTCTCTGGCAGACAGCACTGAACTCAGGTAAGATGCCCACTGGGACTAATTTAGTTTTTTTTTCTCTGATAGAAAACACTATATACTGTATATA